TATTCAACCATTCCCTTTATAAAATGTTAAAAAAAATAATATGATGTTTTTTATAATTATTAATAAAAAGAGAAAAATATTTCTTCTATCACAGAAGATAAATTTTATCTCCATCAATCCTACATGATATTTTAAAAAATTTATTTTACTCTTACAACATAATTTTTTTTTTCAAAATACTTGCAGGAAAAACGCTCAACTCTTAATTATAAAAATATATCAATTTAAAATGAGAATAGAAAACAAACTAATTAACACCACCTTATATCATCTCTTTTTCTTCTATATAAAAGTTAAGCATAACAGAAAAGTTTAAAAATTTAAGTGTAAGAATAACATTTGCTGGGCAATATATGCGTTTCTATGTAGGAATTCAGGCTTAAATTACAGTCAGCAGAAGCCATTTATATAGAAAGGGATACATAGGAAGCCATTTCCAATATTTACCCCCGAGAGATTCAACAAGCTAAACGTATGGTAGAAAATTATTCGGCCTTATCAAAAAATAGCAAAATTAGGCCTTACGTTATGGTATTGTACATTATACTCTCTCTCATGCATCTGTGTCGATTTTTTTCCTTTTATATGTATAGGCATTATTCTTTGCTATATTCGGAAAGGTATGATATGTGCGGGATTTTCGGTCTATGGCCACCGAAACACTAAGAAAGCCAAGCAATGAACAAAGTGATTGAACCATTTGGCCACCCAAGAAAAGAAACCATTTCGTTTTCAAATTATGGCCCCCCCACCATTAATTAACCAGCATGTGCTACCCTCTAACACTTAAACCCATTCCCATTCGCTTGTGTGTGAATTTTAATTTTGTATTAATTTGCTTGGTGATGTGTATTGTATTGACTTTTGTAGAAAACATGTTTCTCTTGTCCCCCCGTGACAAGAATAAAATCAGAGTTATTTAGATCCCGTGAATGGAAGCAAAGTGGAGAAGCAAGTTGGGAGAATGGACAATTTTGCTTACGATAAATAATCATTTGAATCCAAAAATTTAAATGAAACTCTTTTAATAATTTTATATTTATGTAACACTTACATTGAACTTTGTCAAGAATGCAATTTCGCAACCATTAATCTATAAGAAATGCTACTCACATGTCATAATTTGATTTATCTGTCAGGCAGGTCCAGGGGGAAGCCCGAGGCGGGGGCCACCACCAATGAGCTAAGGCTACACCAACCGTAGCAAGTGGATCCGACACCATATCTTAACCCAAAACCTTAAGGCATTGAGTTCATGGGTCCTTCCACTTATATACTCTTCACTTAACTCATTACCAACCAATGTGGGACTCATCACACTTGAATATCCCAACAATCTCCCCCCTCAAGTGTGAAACTAACCATTGGTATGCTCCCCTCAACCGAGTACCCCAAGCGCAGAGTACTCGACCCGCCTCCTAGCCAATCACCAGGCTAACTCGAACCCAACCCGGCTATGATACCACTGTCAGGCGGGTCCAGGTGGAAGCCCGTGGCGGGGGGCCACCACCAATGAGCTAAGGCTACACCAACCGTAGCAAGTGGATCCGACACCATGTCTCAACCCAAAATCTTAAGGCATTGAGTTCATGGGTCCTTCCACTTATATACTCTTCACTTAATCCATTACCAACCAATGTGAGACTCATCACACTTGAATATCCCAACATTATCAACATTAAAATGATAGATGACTTTTTCGGGCCTTAGAGGATGAAATTAAGCCTGATTCGGTTTTAACGTACAAGCTCATATAATTTATGGGTTTTATAAGAGTTATGTTGTAAGAAAAATGATTGTGTAATGTTATAGAGATTCGTTTTGCGTGCCGTAATTTTCTTTTTCTTTTTTCTTCAAAAAATGTGGGCTCCACAAAATATTGTGTGTGTAGAAAAATTTGTTGTTTCATATTAAATGACAAATGCAAACTCCATAATTTATTATAGATCATAGGTTTTTGAAATGCACCGTACCCTATTGAACAAGACCGATAGATCCGTATATGGTCCAATCGAAATTTTTTAATACTATGGGAGTATTGAATTCGATATTTTCTTTTTACTAAAAAAGGAAATTATTTTTTTATCTTTATTTATGCTTTTTTTTAATTCCTTTTAAATTCAATTTTTTTTTCCTTTTAACATGAATGTACCTAATCAAAAGTTTTCTTCCAATCCACAAGGAGTTAGCCAGAATGAACTATACCCCTAAGTGGCGGTAATCAAGGTCACAATTGACGCATTCTTTAAACTAATTGTTGCTTTGAAAGTAGTAATCTTGTAGACATAAGTGTTAGGATAAATGTACTTAAGGGAGAAAATGATACTGAAGCCGATATCATAAAATTAAAATATTTAAATAATTATTTATTTTAAAATTAAATGATACTTTTTATATATAAAATTTATTACAAATTAAATCAATATCAAGTTTTTAAATAATATTTTTTAAAAAATTAATCAACTATATGTATAAACATACTAAATACAAGAATAAAATTAAAATTAAAATTGATTATATTGCAATCATAGGCAGTAAAAAAAATAGTGCATATGATTATTTACAAAAAATATTACAAATATACAAATATCAATTGAGGATTCGTTTGCACGGATTTTTTTTCCTCCAAGAAGTTCTTTTTAAAAAATAAAAATAAAAGCATTTTTATTTCATGTGTGTATTTAATTAAATGCAGCTTTTGAAAAAACATGAAGTCAGAAAAAAAAGTAAAAAAATATGCTCTTTTTTTTTGGAAGTCAAGATTTCTCTTTCAAAAAATAAATAAAAATACGACTTTTTACTTAAAAGTATTTTTTAAATATTGATCCAAATACAAAATAATTATAGTTTTTGAAAGAAAAAAATCATTTCAAAAAATTAACAAATCATAAATATTTTAAAACCCATCCAAAGGGACCTTAAGTCACCATAAAGGTCTGAAATTTTTGTAGATCGTCACTTTAATAAATATGTTATTGGCTACTTCATTTAGTATTATTATTAAAATTTTGTTAATCCTATGCACAAGAGAACAAACCTTTTTTTTTATATTAAATATACATTCACGAAATTAAGTTTTTTTAGTAAACTCAGTGTATCCCCATCAAGACTAATTCCTTCGTGGCTTGGAGCGTACCAATTTTTACTATTGGCCTTAAAGTGTTTTTCGTGAATCGAATCCATGACTTCATCAGCCACATGGTCCGACCTATGAGCTACAATTCATTTACCAACTGAGTTACACATTCGGATTTCATAGAATTATTTCAGGTCTCAGGAATTTTTGTTTCTCCCAAAATTAGTATAGTATTGTACACAAATATTGTACATTTTTATGTAAAAAAATTTTATTTTATTTTTTAGTAAAAGACGTTAAATTTTATCTTATATAATGCATAAGATAATACTATTCACTTCTATCAAGTTTTATATATAACTTTATTTATCCTCTCAAACATACCAAACGTATCTTCAGCTAAGAAGCATTACTCTTTTCTTAGTTACTTGCACAGCTCCCAAGTTTGTAATAAAGTGTCTTTACTATTCCCAAACAGTAAGTTAATCTTTTAATTTTTTTTTTAATATGCATAGTTTTTTTATTTTATTTTTTAAGATTGTGTTGAAAAAACATAGTTATTCCAAGTTTCTTTTGGCTGCAGACATTCTCTGAGATTGTACATCAAAATGGCCGGCAACCAACAACCTCAGCATAAACGGAATAACTTTTGAGGAATATAGTGAGCACAATATCCAATCAAACTAATCTCGTATCTTTCTGGCCGGCGAAAGGTAAGGTTATTCTTTAGGATTTGGGCCCATTCTTTTGGCTATTTCTATTTTCTTCATTGTACCTCAAGCTAACTCTAATATTTTAATATGAGCCTCCTCAGATAATTAATATTTGTAACTGTGGAAAGGGGAAGGTTCTATGAATTTAACATGTGAATGGTGTCGTAGCCCTGCCATGTGCAATATACCCCATGGTTTTGCGCACGAATTGTTGCCTATGATTATTGCTTTGTGATGGAATGCATCACTAGTATTAAATATGTACTTATAGAAAAAAAATAACTCAGGACCGGTTTGTTAGGCGGGTAGAAGAGAGTCTCTAGCGGAGATCATCATCAATTGACTAAGCTATATCAATCACATTACTAATATCGAATGTACTTATTCAAAAAAAAAAAAAAAAAGCACCAGGATCGGTTTGTTAGGCGGGTCGAGGAGAGTCCGTGGTAGGAGATCACTATCAATGGGCTAAGCTACACCAACCACATTAAATGAGTTTGATACCGTGTTTCAATCTAAAACATTAATACATTTGGTTTATGGGTCCCTTATATGTCCTTAACTTACCCCATTACCAATCAATTTGGCACTCCATGATACTTGAATATCTTAACAATTTTCCCTTAAAGTGTGAAACTCATTGCTCTCCCTCAACGGGAACACAACCCACCTCTAGCCAAATTACCAAGTTAGCCCAATCCAAACCCGGCTCTGATACCATTGCCAGGCGAGCCAGGGGAGCCTATGGTGGAGGACCATTATCAATGGACTAAACTACACTTACTGTATCAAGTGGGTTTGACATCATGTCTCAACCCAAAATCTGAAGACATTTGGTTTATGAGTCCATCTACTTATATGTCCTTCACTCAATTACACTTGAATATCCCAACACGGTTTGGTGAATAAGATAAAATAGAAATAAATAGGATAAAAAGGATTGGACAAAAATAAAAAAGAATATGAGCATGATAATTTTCTTGTTTGACTGTCTTGCTCCTATATTCATTCTTCAATGGCAAAAGAATAACATATACTCCCATACAAAAAAAATTCCTGTAAAATTGGCAACAGCATAAAAATAAATAAATGCTTTCATCTATCCTTGCCTATCCTTGACTATCAACAACACATTAATTAATTTTAAAAACAATATAATAAGGCTATCTATATCAAAAAGGGTTCACAAAATCCTAGCTTGGAAACAACAATCAAAGCTTAATTTTGGATATGCATTTGGTATCAACATCCTTAGAACTTATATTCAAAGAGATGTTGCATGAACTATAAGCTGTGGCCTTCATTTTGATAACCTTCATCAAACTCACTTTCCCATGAAGTTCAGCTTTTGATGTCAAATTCAATGTCCCAACCCCAACATCTGTAAAAAATTGGGGATCATTTACCAACTTTGAAGGCATTATATACGCATGGGTGCTCAGATTCATCTTGCTATGCGGTTGGACTAATCGTCCCTCTATTGGAACTTCAGCTACAATGGTATTATCATAATTGACATAACCAGTAGAGTTTTTGTACTTGAAGGTTCCATAGTTTGGATTCTTTATTGAGATCATCATGCCTAGAGTCACATTCTTGGTTGAATTGAGCAAAAGGAAAAAATCAAATTTGTCGAGACCAACAGGGTGGAGATTGATATCAGGATCCTTGAGTTTGAACATGGTTTGAGTGATGATCACAATCACCCCTACTATAATGATCACCAAGAGTACACACACTCCCAAGTAGGTTTTGAAGCCTTTTGCAGCCATGAATAAGAAATAAAAAAATAATGATTTGGGAGAATCAATGAATTAAATAAAATTTGAGATATATATGTATGAAATAATGAGGCTAATCGCTATATGTACGATTCTATTGATATATATATATATATATATATAGATTTGATTTAGGGATTCAAATTGAATTTTTCTTTGTTCAGTTGGCATGAATCAGAACAAATGTTAACCCAAAACATCGGCATTTGACTCCTAATTTGAGATCCTTGTTTTGATATCTAATTTGACCACTCTTTTGCAATAGCCAATACAAAACTAAGCACAACACAAAAATTTAATTATATGACAAGTACTACTATGATGACCACTAACAGTGCGGAAGTAAAGGCAAAATGAAGGAAGTCATAGATGTCCTTTTCTTCCGGTTTTTTCTGACCTCTGCGACATAAACTGCATCTGTCGCATAAATTTTGTGCATGTGTAATGAATGCACTTAAGGGTGTGTTTGGTTGAGGCTTTTGATTTGGTTTCCCGTTCAAATATAATTGGCATTTAATGTCTTTTTGTTTGGGAGACAAAATTCAAAAATTGTGCCATGCTTCTTCTTTTTTCCATTCTTTGACAAACATGTGAAAAATGAAAGAAAAATCACTCTGCAATTTAACCAATTCAAGTGTGGTATTCCTAGAAAAGGCTAGGCAATCTAAAAAGGTGAGCGAACACTTTACTATATTATCCTCGGTTAAGATACATGTCTACAGATTCAAAAATTAAATTAGGGGTTATTTTCGGTATTTCAACACATTTACTCATCATTATTTCATCCTCAACCAAACAAAAACTCATAATATTTAATTCAATTTTCTTGGTAAAAATTTGGCTAATCAAACAATTTTTTTTTTAACTTTCCTACTAAATTCACTTTTCTATCATATTACTGATAATTATTTACTTGGTAAAAAAAAAATATCCTCTCTCAGACGCCCTTTTAAACAATATATATATATATATATATATATATATATATATATATATATATATATATAGCTCAAACATGGAGATTTTCTTGCATAGGTATAACAATATTTTTGAGTCTAGACACACTCAACCATGTGAGCGCATCTAAAATGCATTTTTGTCTAGACAAAGAAAAATTCATAAACTTCGTATTAAAAAATCATAACATTATTTTGGTACTCGCGATGGATTTTTTAAATACATAATTTTTTATTTTTTTTGTATTCGATAATCATTATGATATAAAAAAATTATTTCTAATTTCTAATTTCTAAATGGAACATGTTGTTCAATTATAATAATAATAATAATAATATGATTTAATTTTACAATTCTTTTGACTTTATATACATATTTTGACTTTATATACATATATATATAGTCGCTTATAATAGTTTGATTAACTTCTAAACTTGAATTTTATTAATTTTAATTGTTTTATTAGAAAATATATTACTCTATTTAATAAAATTATTCAACCTTTATCGAAAGCTTAAAAATTAGACTAAAACGTTTACCAAAATAAAATAAAATTTGGTGCATCATATGTTAATATTTTTAATTTAAATAAAATAAAATATATTATGAAAGAAACATACAAAATTAAATTAAATTAAATAAATATTAATCAAATATTTTTCATTAAACTTATAAGATTAAGATTTAAAAACAATGGAATTTAAAAACAAGTAAAATAATAGTACTTTAAGGGCATTTTACCATTGTATATTTTTATTTTTTATTTAAGATTCTTATATGAAATAAAGAATGTGTTTTTTTAATTTATTGAAATTTTTTACATTTTTATATCTGTTTGTTTAAATTTTTTAAGAATAAATTAAAAATTAAAAAGTAAAAGGTTAAAAAATATGAAAAGTAAAAATATACATGAAAGAAAAAATTGAGAAGTCAAAATAAAATAATATTATAATTTAAATGAATTAAAAATGAAAATTTGAAAAGACATATGATCATTTTAGTGGAACAACTTTTATATTATGATTATTAGATTTTGGAATTATCCAAAAAAACTTCTTTAAAATTAGAACATATATATATATATATATATATATATATATATATATATATATATATATAGGTAAAATCATTTCTGCAACCGCTTCCGTACAGCAATGACAGGTGTATAGTTATGATTTCTCACATTTAATACTTTCATCCTTTGTATGGTTATGATTCCCCGCATTTAATGCTTTCAAGTATATATATGGCAAATATTTGATTGCTACACGTACAGCAGCTACAGAAATGTAAACCCTATATATATATATATATATATATATATATATATATATAGAAAGGTTATATTTACAAATTTTTTGTTTACAAACTACACTAAGTATGACTGGTCATACTTCAACCAATAGTGTATGACCGATCATACTTAGTGTAATTTGTAAAAAAAAGTTTGTAAACAGATCTTTTCCCCCATATATATATATATATATATATATATATATATATATATATATATATATATATATAGCAAGGATACACGTCCGAATCCTAGGATACGACAACGGATCCTGAGTTTTTTTTTTAAAAAAAGCCGTGTGGCCCACTTTTCTGTGTCAGCTGTAGATAACACTATCTACGGCTGCTGCAGAAATGTTAAGCCCTATATATATATAGATAAAATCATTTCTGCAGCCGCTTTATGTACAACAATAACATGTGTTTTCTCACATTTAATGCTTTCATGTTTTGTATGGTTATGATTTTCTGCATTTAATGTGTTCACTTATATATATATAACAAGTATTTGATTGCTGCACGCTACAGAAATGTAAACCTTATATATAGGTAAAATCATTTCTGCAGCTGTTGTACGTACAACAACGACATGTGTATGATTATGATTTTCCGCATTTAATACTTTCACGTATATACATGACAAGTATTTGATTGCTGCACATACAGCAGTTGCAGAAATATAAGACCCGCTCTATGAACCCTAAAGAATAAGCACCTGTTGGATATTTTTATTTAGGGATACACAATGAATATTGATTTTGGTTACCAGATGTGTTTTCAAATCTATATTTTTATATTCTAATTAATTACATATATGTGTTTATCTTCCACAAACAACAACACGATCTGCTTACTGCTGGGAATGGTGCTGAGATTTTTTTGCACTACAAATATTTCAACACAACAACATCATATTTATGCTAAAACTCTTGTCTGCACTACAAATAAGCCCCTTTTCTCAAATCGTATGTGTTTTTTGTTTTTTTTTTATCGAGTTTTTAATTTTGGAAGAAATGATTTTGGTTACACGATTTTTTTAATCTTGATTGCCGAGGAAGAGAGAAAGGGGAGGAGAGAAAAAAGATGTGGGAGAAAGAAAAAGGAAAAAAATGTTTATTTTATTTCGCAAATATCTACCGTTGGATGATATTGTAATCAAACGGTATTGAAAGTGGTAGGCAAATATACGCAAAATAAGAGTTTTTTTTATTGGGATAAAAGTACCTGAATATATTGTTATTGGGATAAAAGTCCTTTTTTTAAATGAAGAGTTTAAAGACTGAAATGTAGCATTACTCTTCATTTGAGTGTTGTCTTTTTATATCGAAAAATAGAAAAATAAAAGGATAGAAAATGAGATGAATGAAAATTGAGAATAATATATATATATATATATATATATATATATATTATTTTTATTTTTCTCAAAATATTATAATCAGTTCATTGCTTCACGACTTGTCCGATTTGGAACGAGTCCCGAAATTAAGGCTTTAAACCTGTAAAAATCTTGGGATACACCACCCCAAAAGCTAGCTCAAGGGGTGGGAGTGTCCAAGGCCTTATAAAGGCGACATTAGTTGCCCACACAATCAATGTGAGACTATATATCTCAACACGCCCCCTCACGCAAGAGCCCTTTGGGCTAGAAGCGTGGAATTGCACGGGCCCAATTTTTGGTTTACCTTTTTGTGTTTTTTTTTATTTTTAATTCCACTTGAAAGTGGGGGACGGTGAGGCTCTGATACCATGTAAAAAACCTTGAGATACACCACCCCAAAAGCTAGCTCAAGGGGTGGGAGTGTCCAAGGCCTTATAAAGGCGACATTAGTTGCCCACACAATCAATGTGAGACTATATATCTCAACAAAACCCAAATGGATCGGAGAGATTTTCAATAGATTTCATGAGCATCACTTATTCACCTTGAAACATACTTTAATGAGAGTAACGACTGACTGCAATCTGCCGAGATCTTCATGCTTCAATAGTTATTGCGTTGAACTTGTCAGAAAGAACATTCGGCTATGAGAATCTGAATTCTTTATTGAGTTGGAGAATACATGCATATGATTTTGCTAGCCAAAATATAATAAACCAAACTAAGATTAAAGAAAGATTTTGCGTTTATCTGACCTTTTTTTTAAGAACTAAATGATTGACTTATATCTTTATATGATTTCCATCTGATTCACTGAATCTGATTGCAATTACAACTTAATTTGCGCCGAATTCAATTCTGCTAAATAATTTTCCGCTTTGATTTGGTATTTTGAAACTTATTTGAAAGGGTTAACTGTGTGTCCTTTTAAATAATATAAGTTATGTCTTTTTAGTTTTTAACATTATATACTATAGGTAGAACATATTTATAATATGAAGAATTTTTTTTTCTCTCTCCACGTCAGCTGAAGTGACTGAGGAGAGAGAATTTTTTTTCATATTATAATTATGGAGTACCCGTAATATATAGTATTAAAAACTAAAATCACATAATTTGTATCTTTAAAAAGAAAAAAAAATTTCTCTATTTGAAAAAATGGAAAAATATTTCTGCAGGCAAATAAGTTATCTGCATTTATATCTGAAATGACGTCGTTCTGGTATTGAAATCTTAAAAAATTATAAATTTAAAGACTATTGTAACCCTGAAATAAATTAAAATTATAAAAGCACCATGATTTTTGCACCAAAATGATGTCGTATTGGGCTTACTGCAGATAACTTATCTGCAATAACTG